GCATTCATAGTATTGGGAAGTCCTTTTCTGTTGGCCCTCACTATATCACAAGTGGGTGTGGACCTTCTCAATAGTTCTTGAATACTGGCACACTTGTGTAAAAATTATCCTTGTATCTTGTGTAAAAATTATCCTTGTATAAATGGTGGCCTTTATCTAAAAAACAATTCGTGACAGACATAATGACATCATGTGTAGCACCATTGTTAGTTCCGTTTTCATCTTTTCTGGTGTAGACTTGCAAGTTACTGACATAGCCAAATATTGCCTTCTGGTTCCCTTGTCAGCCTTTTCAGCTGTGCGTATGTGCTTTTTGGGTTCTAGTCATACTTTGGTTCGTTTCTCGCAGTAACCAATATTGTATATGGGATTCAACTAACTTCGTTGTTCAGTGGGTATGGTGGCAGTGCAGGTAGATCCTCATAAGTAAAGTAAACTACTTCTATGTATAACTGGGCTTATTTGTTATTATGTCGCTACTTGGGTTAGATCTTCAGCCATAGAAACAAAACAGTGCGTAGTCCTCAAGGACTTCACACTTGTCAGGTGTTGTAATCCCTCGAAAAACTCATTCTTAAATTTACGACCTTTGATCAGGGTGGATTCTTTCTGGAAAGCCATACCAGAGAACATTGTCGTTAAAAATCTTGTCTGCAGCAGTCTGCCCCAACGAGTTTGTAGTGGCATAAGCGGCTGCGAATCTAATGAAATGGTCCACCACAACCAGGAAGTACTGGTATCCACCCTTGCAGGTTTCCAGAGGAAGTTAGTCAATTGATATCATTTGGAATGGATACTTCGTCTCAATAGGTTGCAATGGTGCCACAGCTTTTTAGTTTGGTGGTTTGTCCTTTAAACACTTACATAAGTGCTTCACAAAGTGATCAATATCTCTTGCCTTGTGGGAACAGTAGAAGCAGTTTTGGGCAAGAGACAAGACTTTGTCTGTTCCCAAGTGCCTATGATTCACGTGTAACTCTTCCAGAACAATTGGATGGAACTCTTTTGGAAGTACAATCTGGTGACTTCTTGTTCCTGATGGGCACCGTGTTACCCGTCTCAAAACACCATCTTCACCAACTGTTCATATCTCCCATCTTTGGAGTAAAGTCTTACATTCAGAAGGTAAATGTTTCACGGACCTGTGACTTGTTTTTGTGCCCAATTCTACCAGCTTTTTCACAGGACCTATGGTACTGTCCTGCTCTTGAGCATTTTTCAAATAGGTTTTGGATATTCTCTTGACCTTACCTCCGGGCTGGTGGTGCAGATACTGTGTTGACCAGTCTCCATCGATGTCCACCATGTTAACATTCACTGGAAGTAAATTGAGAATCCTCCTGGCTACGAACGGCCACCATCTTACTCTCACACACTTGCACTGCAACACTAAAATCCTCCAACACGTGAAGTCGACCAGAGTTGTTGATGAGCTCTATTGCATTTTCAATAGTGTGATATTGGACTGAGGACAATTCCTTGTCAGTGCCGTCGTTGACTGACTGCCCTGCAGGAAAGTAGAGGTCATGAATTCATCTGAACTTGCCTGGGTCTTTCTTGGGGTGATGGCCAAATGTGAAAAGGGTTTAGACATGAAAGGACCTGCTAACCTGCCCAACCTTAATTCAGAGGCCAATTTCTGATCTACTACTTCGGGCCTATCCTGGGCAGATTTATGGTTGCCGCGGAAAGGGAGTACTGCAAGGCGTTGTGACCTAACCTGAAACCATTTGTAAAACCTGAAACCAATTAACATTTTAGAATGGGGGGGGGGGGGGGGTAGCCTGACAAATACCTACAGAGTTTGTTGGGGTCTACTGGTGTTTTGAGAACCTTGGTTGCTGGGGTGGGGACCCCTGTTGCCCGGTGTGGGATGGTTTTGGGTTGTGATGTTGGGCGTTCTTCCTTCTTGGCACTAGCAACGAAAGGCTGGGTGGTTCCCTCTCCTGAGCAGTGAAAGCATTTGTGGTCGTACCGGCAGTTTCCCCTGCATTTGAATATTGTACCCACTTCTCTGCCATCCTCCTGGACCCTGTGAAACAGTGACAGTGAATTAATTGATCACTTTTCCCATTCTCAGCCAATCGGAGAATGTTTAAAACATATCCCAAACCAGGTTAGTAGCTGAGTCATCCTTGGGCCCTCGACAGTGGAGCACCAGTACCTGGTCTTCTCTTAGCAACGTAAATGTTCTTTCCAGCACTTCAATTTGCGCTTCCCACTGCCATGATGAGGTGGCGAAATCCACACCAATCTCACCCAGAACAGACACTTCCGGGTTGCTGGCTGCCTGTTCAAACTTTGCCCAGCCTTCTGGGTCAAACTCGTGTCTGGGGTGCCGACCCGCCGACACCACGGCTCCCTCTGCCTTCAGAGAAGCCACCTCCTCAGCACTTGGATATGTTGCTGGGTCACAGAATATAACAGTAGCCCCGGGAACTGTTATTTCCTTGTCATCCACCTGTCTGGCCTTGATGACATCCTTCAACCCAGCTTTTGCTGATAATTCCAAGTGCTGGCACACACGATCCACATGACAATGACTGTCATATCCTACTGGAGGCTTAGGAATAGCCAGCTCTTTATCCTCTTTGTTGGAACATGTGCTCCTATACGCCTCCAGANGTGCACGGCGCCGGCGACGGCAGACGCAGGTGATGGCAATATGTACAGACACATCTGTGTCTGTACATAAAAATAGCAAATGATTCAGTTTAATTACTATATCCTATTGTGCCTATTTTCTAAAGCAACCTGCCTCTTCACCAAAAAAAGCCATTCAGTACATTTATAGTAAAGCAAAAATACAGTTTGGAAGTTATGGGGCAAATGTCACCAAAATTATGAAAAAAAAAAAACTGAATAAATACCATAAATATAACCCGAACATGCCAATTTTCCAAAGCATCCTGAATTTTTACCAAACACAGCCACTCAGTAAATTTAAGTAAAAGAAAATATGGTTTGAAATTTGGAATTTATGGGGCAAACTTCACCAAAATTGTGCAAAAATATAGAATTATTACCATAAATGTAAACTGATCATACCATGCAACCTGCCTCTTTACCAAACAAATCGTCTCCCTTGCGTACACTTTCTGCTTAGATTATGCATCGTATTTTGCTTTATGTTCATAAAGTTTGGAAAATGTAACATTAAACACACATAAAATTATCAGGGAAGAGTACACTTAACTTCACATAGTTAGGAAAGCACACTGCAATCCTGGATCAACGGTTAAACAGCAATGACATGAAATCATTTTTTGTGAATTGCATGATGCCAAAAAGTGGGGACTGGATATTGCTAATTTAATTAGTCTCATTTAATATTCTTGTGACTAGGTCATTACGTCATCAATTGAAATCTTCACTCATTACAGTAAGTCCCTGGGTCAATTGTGAATGGGGAAATGATACCAACACGCTAGCTGTGGTTTCGCTGTCATGCCAGTCTGACAGAAATGAAACAGGATTGGGTCATTCCATCTGTGATTACAAGCTCAGATGACAGATTTTCCTAACACATTGTTGTTTTATGAAAAGCAGAGTGTATTTCAGGTATTTAAAGCCCAAAATTGAATGAATTGTATAGTTCACATCTATGGGAGATAACACTTTCTGCTGAAGTTGAAATGGAAATGATAGTAACCCACAACAACCCATTTTTTTCACTCATCAAAATTTGCAAGGAAGAGCAATTTTTTTTATCTAGTGTGTGTGCTGTAAATGATCCCTGACATGACAAAAATACATGACAATACTAATACTGAGAGCTTTTTTTCCATAATGTACAGCTGCAAAACAGACTGGTATGTCTGTGTCCAAGCTTTAAGCCCTGTTTTAGTGTCATTTTCAGCTAAGAATTAAAAAATTTCATATACACGGCAATTTTTGTTTTAATAAGACATAATGATTCCTTTTGAAATACTGAAATATGAGAAACTTCTGATGCTTTTTATAAATTAACATAATAAGCATCTCAAATCTATTAGTGAAATATATTCTTTATGGTATACCAGATTTAACCTTTAAAACATCTATCTTAAACTTATGGTACTTAATGAATTTCCTCAAAAAATATTTCAGATCCAATATCATCCTTTTTGTGACATCTTTTTAGGCCTTGTACATAATGTGTGAACAAACTATCCTTCTTCATTGTGCATTTCAACGATGATGCCTCAATATGGTGATCTAGAAACTTCAATTCCAATAATATGTTTACATCTAGTGGGTTAAGTATTGCTATGCTGCTTGGCAATTTCTTTGCAACTTATTGTTTCTATTTGTTTATTGTATAATTATAGAACTATAATTATTATATCTTCTATCAATGCCATCTCTTGTACCTCTATTGCCTCTTGATAAACATCTATTACTAGCCTGTTCTCTATTCCTCTAGGAGCTGCAGAGCATGCTAAACCAGTGTTATCAACACTTGGTGATTCATCTGTCTAGTATTTATATGGGACGTTTATGATTCTTTTGGCAGCCATTGGTGCACGACAAAAACAGAAATTGAAGATATGCACTAGTGCGCGTGCGCTCTCACATAAAAGTCTTCTATAGATACCTAGGGATATTATGTGACCATGGCGATATGATGATCACNTGGTGCACGACAAAAACAGAAATTGAAGATATGCACTAGTGCGCGTGCGCTCTCACATAAAAGTCTTCTATAGATACCTAGGGATATTATGTGACCATGGCGATATGATGATCACTGAAGCCTGTCCATTTAGACAAGCTTCAGTGAAGATCGAGGGCAACCTCGAGCCGCTACCCAAAAATATCTCGCTTCACTCGACATTTCTGCGTAGCGTCTCTCGGAAAACTCGGATTTAACCTCGATGTAGTCTAGAATTTCACGACTACATCTTGGTTAAATCAGTCGAGGTCTCTTAAATGCTGGAAGTCAAAGACAGATTGATCATTAGACCTTCTTGGCATCAAGAGAATAGTGACTGTGTATTATCTCACACATAACCTCATTTGTATAGAAACAAAATAAAATATGTGAAGTAGATGGAATATGGCAACATGGGAGACTTCTGAGTTTTGTAAGAATAGTTAACATTAATGCTTTTACACCATTTAACCACCATTCTATACTGAATACATCAAACTATCACCTACCTTTTTTCAGGTATACATGCTTTAGACATGCATCCCATGTAGCAAGGCTTGGTTCTAGTAAATAATTTTAAAAATAAGTCACCATTAGTCTTTAATGTTATCCACAATGATATCCCTGAAACTTCATTAAAATTGAACTCTTTTTCACTGGTTGTTATTCCTAAATTTGACAATTCCACCCTTCCCTAACATTATATGGATCATTATACTGATACATTTTTGAAGCAAATATTAGTAAAGTAGCAGCATATAGCCTTTTATTGACAGAAAGAGGTTAAAGATGATGAAAATAAAATAATCCTTCCACAAACATTGGGCATCACCTATATCCATGGCTTTCATTTCTCCAAGGAGTTCGTCAACGTGCTGTATTACCAATTTGTCTTTTGAATTAACTAATACCCTCAGGGCATTGTTGAAAGTGATAAGGTTTGGTCGTACATCTGCTTTTGCCATCTCCTGCAGGAGTTTCTGAAAGAAATTAAGACGACTTTTTAAATGCTAATTTTTAAAAAGAATTCATTACTGACAAGACATGTTTACCTTAGCTTATTCTTTCTTATCTTAGCTGAGCTACTTGCAACAAATGTTACACTAAACCCTTTTACAGAAGATCTAAACAACATCAAAGTTTGTGAAGTTATCACTACAGAAACAAATGGAAGAAGTGAATGATTTAAAGTTTATGAGTGTACATTATTCAACCTAAGTTAGCCACAGATGAGGAGAGCACTACAATAAATCCAGCACTCCTTATCCCAGTGGCAATCCCTATCTGGTCAAAAAATTTATCTATTATCTATCATAGTAGGAATCTAGTATCATAGGAAGACAATCAACTGGTTTTCAGTGAGATGTAGACAAAAACAAGAACATGTATTGTCATCCTTACCATTCAACATTTTTATAAATGAACTTCTAGTTGATGTAGCAGCAATTAATGCTGGGGTCCAAGTATGAGACAACATGGAGTAAATTTGTTGTGTGGAAATGGTATGGTAATGGTGGCCTAAAATAGCTTTGCAAAGGATGGTTGATGCTTTGCAACATATTAAAAAAATCAAATGAAGTATATTTAAGACCTAAGAAGATGCAGTGGCGTATAGTGTCCTTTTTAATGTGGTAGTAAGGAAATAAAACTGACAGGCAAGCACACTTTCCTGAGACCACTTTTAACAAAACATCTGAATTATGAAACAATGGAGTCTGTCAGCAGACTACTTATCACCATAAGTATACCATAAATAAAAGTTCAGAGCTCAGATGATGAACATTTTATGGCAAGTGTAAACCTGTTTTATAGAATACCTAGGCAATTACATGGTCAGGAAATATCATGCACAATGGATGCCACTTTACCCATTATTTAGTAAAGGGAATAACTGGAAATAATTAGGAACTGATACCATTTTAAGCAAAGTCGCCCACAGTCGTCAATGGCAAACAGAATAACACATACATTTTCAGAACTTGTCTGAGCCATTTCATGTGTACTAGGTATTAGTTTGCCCCTTAATATTATAGCTTTACCTTGACCATCTCCCATGCCAAATCACTCTTTTCTTGTATGCAATCAATCAATCCATTGTAGCACTCCAGCTCCACTGAAAAAATTAAAAAATCAGTTCAAGTAGCATAATAAAAGAAAATATAATCACTGAGATCTTTGAAGCAGGCTGATGATACTTAAAGGTTTGAAGGTTGTGGTCACAGACCACAAATCAAATAGAGGATCAGAGGTATGTACCACCAGCTGGAATAAGCACATTTGTATGGAAAATAAAAAGGGACACCACCTCTAGTGTTATGCATGACAAGCTCTACTAAATGAGTGCTCCACTTTCTTTGTTGAAAATTACAATTTATAACAAAATCATGGGGAAAAGTAAAAGGTCAAATCCAAATATGTGAAGTGCAGTTCGTGGCAAAAAGTAAGTAAAAGGTCATCATCAAAGTCACAGGAAGACTGTCAATATATGATTTTCTATTCAAGTGCAGTAGTATCTATGAGCATATCTCTGCCAGTTTTGGAGATATAAGGGATGGAAAATTTGCAAACTTCAGTTCTTGGTGAAAAATAGGTAAAAGGTCAAATTTAAGATCACAGTTAGATTGCCAGTATATGACTTCCTATTCAACTTAAATAGTAACTACAGGTGTATCTCTGCCAGTTTTGGAGACATAAGGGGCAGAAAAGTTACAAACTTCGGTTCATGGTGAAAAAAAGGTCAAAAGTCAATTTCAAGGTCACAGTTAGATTGCCAGTACATGACACCATATTCAAGTTCAATAGTAACTATGGGTCTATCTATGCCAATTTTGGAGTTATTTCACATTTTATTTTCACCACTGAATATTGCAACGTTTTACTCTTTGATATAGTGCAACTCGTAAACCATACAGAAAAAAAAAACAGCTGCCACCTTCAGTTTTGTGCTTGACAAACTCTATTAAATGCAAAAAACAAGAGGTCTCTAGCATTTACAGTTCCAGAATTAAAGAGAGTTTCAGTTTTGGCATCTAATGACTACTTCTCTAGTGGAAATGCACTGATTGACCCTAAAATCACAAAGATGAAAGTTGACCCTTAGTGTAACCCCCTGTCCAAAATATTTTTGGTTAGTTCCGAGTAGTTTTTGCAAATCGGCACAAATAAAAATTGTTTGGGGGTAGCCGGCTCATGTCTTAGTTAAACTAACTCTTATCAAAATAACACGATCCAGGACTCGGCCCCTGGGGACGTGTGTTTTGACAGCGCCCCTGGTTAAAAGTTTTGAGATTGCTTTTGGGACGTTAGAGTTTAGATTGAAGTATAAAAGTCCCTTTTAATGCGTTATCACGTGTTTGTGAAGAGATGAAAACAGTGACAGAACGTGTCCGTCTTATAATTCTGATTCGAAATTATTAGATTACTATTTATTGATGTATTCAATATTATCGGCTGTTGTTTCACTTCAGTATGATGTGAGAGAGGTGTCTCGCCTCTGTATGTGTTTGACCTGAAGGGCTGATTGTACGAGATACGCACAGTGCGATGGGGGAAACGAAAGGGGGGGTTGGACTGGTTGCAGAAAGCGCTTTTAGGTCAACAAGTGACCTTCATCAGCTGCAGAGTCCTAAAAAAGGGGGGGTTAGAGAGAGGGGTGGTCAGTACTGTGTTTAACGCTCTGGTTATCACAGGATGGAGTGTTAGTCCTGGTGTTGTAGGACTTTCTCCGCAAAGGTGTCTTGCCTTTGTGTGTATCTGCTTATGCAGAATTAGGTACACAAATATGCTAGGACGTCTCGTCCTGACAAAGGTGTCTCGCCTTTGTATGTGTGTCTGCTTGGCAGATCACAGTGTGGAATGTGTGCACAAGTGTTTCGCTTGTGACGATATCCGTAGTTTTCCAAAAGTATCTCGCTTTCGTGGCTGCAGTGCTTACAGATAGCGGCACAGTAGAGGTGGCGAGGATAGTCACCTGCGTGGCCTGTGGTAACTGTTGTGAGCTAGCGAGTTCAGACGACGTGTTGATTCCTCAATAGTTGAGTGAGAACTCAAAATATCCATTTTTAGAAAATTTTGGCCTGTTTGACCTAGATATACAGGTCAATGGTCAAATCCAAGGTCATGTTTGAAATCTACACATGACTTTCAGTGAGCCATCTAATAATATTTTCCCATAATTCTTTCAGTTTGGTACATGCTTAGCATTTAATTTTGCAAATTTTGAACAAGGGTGCATTACGAGTGCCACACCTAGACCTGTGCGCCAACAAAGCCCAAAATTTACGTGCATCGAGGTGAGATTAATTGTGACGTAAATGCAAGAGATGGGTACGCAGGCTCTTGTCGTATAGGAGGAGAAGCGGTAACGGATACATGCCAGTGGATCGGGTGGATGAGACGGGTCAGGACTAAAACCATGTGTACCACCAGTGCCTACCCTGGTGGTACAATTAATCAATAAATCAAACATACATATTGTCTTTTTTCAATTTTCATACTACTGTGGACATTCAGACAACATACCTAGGATACGGGAGTTTTAACTCACACCTAGTATATGTAAATTTTTGAAAAACTCAAAAAATCTCAACTTACACAAAAATAAATTCAACAAAACTTGTTTTCAATCAATCATTTTTAAAGCGCCGCTTTCCTTTTACAATAGCAGTGCACAAAATGTTTCAATACAGTAAAAAATGCTAAACAGCATGATCAAACCAATTTTAATTATAAACTTTGTTATTGTGGACATTCAGGAAACAACTACAACAAGGCTTCAGGTCTTTAATTTTGCGAACAAGTAAAATTTCATGAAAGTACACTGCAATACCATTGGCAGTGACAAAGACAGGTGATGGTGATACGTACTTCCAGATATTTGTCTGTCCATAAAAGATGTACTACCTACCTGGAATATTTTTGTCTCTCATGGCCGTGACCCACGTTTGTGCTTCATCATAGGCTTTATGCTAAAAAATATATTTTAAACAGAATTCATTTTAATTCATGTTTTATCTTTGCATTAATTTTTAAACAAATGATTTATTAAAGAAATAAATATTTAATTAATTTACACTTTGGACCCTTGCAGGTAATCTGGTGCACAACAAGAAGATTTTTGCATTAAGTTTTTAATTTATACACTTTGCAACATTTTTCGGTATCTGCAGAATAAGTACTAATGGCCTCTTGCACCATAAGAGACCCATAAATAATTATGATTTCTACTAAGCAAAATTCTCTCCATCAAACAATAGGGGTTTCAAAGCTTACCAGCAATTAAAAGTTTTTAGCAAAAAGGTAGTAGTAACAACATGCTTTACAGAGACATTTAATAAACTTAGCCCTTTTAAATGTATTCTAAATGCTCCTTACAGTCAACATTCCCATAAGCATACTGTTGTAAGCCCAAGCATTTTTCTCTGGCATATTCTCAAACACGAAGTGGGCAGCATTTGTTTGTCTGCAAAAATGTCAAAATAATAATTCAAATAGCTTCAAAATCCCCAAAAGATGCATATTATGCTGATTTTCATAGAAGACCTAATAACTTTATGATGCATTTTATTTAATCATAAAATTCTCAAGTTAATTCTCTACATCTCATAGCTTTAAAATAGCACAGTTAATCTTATTTATTTAATCGACCTCCTCCATAAGAAGGCATTTATTTAGAACTGTTCAATTTACAAGTACAGAATAATTAAAACATTTATTATGAAGCAATACTAACTTCCACTTTTTTCCATCATAAAATGGTGAAACGCCCCTGAATCCATAGTATATTTCTGATGGATCCTTGGGCACTCTCAATGGGTCGTGGCCTGCGTGCAGTGCCATCGCATCCAACAAACGATTGAAACATTCTTGTGAAATGGGCCGAAACCCTTCTGGTTGGTCTTCAGCACTTGCTACAGCTAAAGTCAATTCAAAACACTTCTCAAAGGAGTGACACGAAACTGTATATCAAATTAATTTTTTTGGTCCCATGGTAAACTGAATAAAAATGCTTTATTTGACACCCTTTATAACGGCACAATGTAGACACATTTTGACAGATGAGCATTGGTATCTTTATTCCATCTGCGGACAAAAAGTATGCAAAACAAAAATAATAAATATCATTAATACTGCATTATTACTGAAATAAGGAAATTCAGGCAATTCACTCACCGCAATACTGATATATTTTGAACATTGTAAATGCATTTTTATACTGTCTATGTTCAATGAAGCCCTTGATTTCTTCTTCAAATCTGTCTGGGTGTATCAATGGATTGCCAGATTTATTTTTTGTATTTGCAATGATATGTTTCACTTTTCCATAATTCTCAGGCTGCTTCAGCTGCCTCAACGCAACACCAATAAAACCGGGCTCAAAGCTTTTGTAATGAAACTCCTTAAAGATAAAAACATTAAAATATTTTCTTTAATTGCCATATCTAAATAAACATGCCCGTTATAGCCGTACAGGCTATTGCTTCTTTAAAGATCACAATCCTAAAAAATGAAATGGTCAAACTTATTAAGCAAAAATACTATCAACACAAACATATTTTTTAATTAAGCAGTATGTAGTTTTCTATATTTACATACCTTTATTGGTGGTTCAGCTGCATTAAACCTCATGACATTTTTATTGTTACTAAGAAACCATCTGGCAGCAGCTTTCCCTGCCGCCTTACTGAGTTCATTCTTTTTCTATTCAAATAAAACAAAAAGACAATTTTAACTATTATAATTACCAAACATTATACGATTAATAAGCAAATTATTTTTGTAACCGGATAAAACAGTTAGCTAAATTGTATCAAGGATTTTCTCCACACTTGTATCTATTTTTACTGTGAAGAAATTATTTAAAAAAACGTAAAATACTAACCACAGGTACTGGATGGAAAGGGGCAGCCTTTGGGTGGTCTATCAAATCATACCTTGGTGCTGTCCAATCCTAGAAATATGTAAATATACTTACACAGTTTGATATGAACTTATTATATTGTGCATCCATTTCATAATTATAGGCAATTAAAAAAAAAAAAAAACATACAAAAAATCTGATATTGGCTTATTTGTTTCTTAAAGAATGGATTTATGAATACTTACTATTTCAACTGTAGAGTTCAAAGCCTGAAGAATTGACAACTCATCTCTGGAATTGAATTAGTACACTAGAATACTAGTAAGTATATAATACTCATACCAGGGTCAAAATGTTTTTAAAAAAACTTACTTTCCCTGAGGGAAAGTTGTTTTATTTACTATTTTTTCTTTAAAAAATATTTCCCTGATTAAAAAAAATCGTAAAAAATTGTAAATGATTTCATTAATAAATTATCAATGAAAGATACAATGTGACCTTGAAAAATGTACGTTTACCGTTATGAAGTCATTTTCATAACAGTAAACGTACATTTTTCAAATTAAAATTACTGGAAATATATGACAAGACAGGTTCGAGGATTGGGGTCTAAAATTGCCATCTGTAATTTCTTTCAAAATTTCAGGGGTTCCAACTTTTCCAAGTGCTGTCAGCAGGGGAGGGGGGGGGATAAAATTTAAAAAAAAATCGAGGGGGGGTTAAAATAATCGATAATCTCCCACTAATGCTCTTCGGTGAACAAACTCCCTTAGTAGTTGTATTATATTGTATTTTGTAAGCTTTAGGTACTAGTAATAGTTTCCTCATGACTGAAAAAAGTGTGCACTACAAAATAGTAGTATTATTCAATTGGACATATCATACACGCTGGGTACATCAAATTACTCAAAGAGAATTTTGTACTATGTCCACAGCCACCAAGTCGAGCGGTCTTTTTTCAAAAAATTTATAAGCCATCCAGCCATCTTTGAAAGCATAGGCCGTCCAGTAATGCCAGTGGCTGTCCAAATGACAGCTTGATGGTACAATGGGCAAAGCTTTGCTAGTAATATAAGAAAAGACAGTTATGAATTATTACCAAGAATATTAAACCAAAATGGTCATAATCGCCAAGGAAAAATGTATGATTCGTTTTTCGTACCTGTTAACTCCATACTAGGTTTACTCATTACATAGAAAGTGTTATTTAAGATCATATCAATCATAAATCTCCATGAAATTGGTATTTGAAAATGACTCTAATGTGCAACTTCTAGCTTTCCCAAAAAGAGCTTTTGAATCATCCAGTGACTTTGCAAGCTATATATATACTAACCAAGAAGCTTGCAGCATGACATCACTTGCTTGATATACCTTAGAACATGTGCCAGTTTAGTAGCTGTTAATAGCAACTTTAAACTGGCTGGTGCTTTTCCATGTATAAACAAATTGCAGCAAAGAGACATTTGTAAGCAACAAAAATTGTATTCAAGATTTTTGTTCCCTAACAGTTGAACAGTCTTTCACGTTGAGCCCTGTGCTTTTGTGTCAGTTCTTAGAGAAAGTGACCTCTAATAGTGATTTCCAGACAGGTTTTTTGCATTTTGCAGACTTTTTCAATGATATACCAACAGAAAAATAAGGTCTGACATAAATTTCCCACAGAAAACCAGTAAAGCAACTTTTTGACCCCTGACTAACAAATGATATCTAAAATGTGTAACTTATAAATTTATTATTAAGATCTTTAATCAAAATTACATGTACACATAAATAGATGAAAAAAATGATGAACTGTTACAGCAACTATATCATTTTTCTATGGGCTCATTTTTAACCACCTCTTAAATTCTATTGGCATGTTTTAACCACCCCTAAATTCTATTGGCATGTTTTTTATATCCTTGTACAAGCAATCATTCAAGGAAAAAATATAAAAAATATATCACCAACCCTACCTTGGAACTTTATTTGGAGGGTTCACTGTTTCTACAGCTGAAAAGTAAATTGTAATGCTTAACCATTGGCACTATAACACATTGTCTACATAAATCTAGATATAACAGATAGTGAACATAAAAAAAATGAAGTCTGAAATGTTCTTAATTCTAAGTAAATTTGGCATGCCTATAAGAGATACGCTATACTTTTTTTTGGGAGGGGGGGGAAACAAAGTTAGAAATTACTCTGCAGCATTAGCTGAACATCTGACCATGGCAATTAAAGTGCCCAAAAATATAGCCTTTTTAGGAAAAATATGTCAAAACCTGACCATGTCCTGCATGGTAACTGTAGTTTGAACCAGATCATGCCCATTTTGGCACGGCACATACCTTTTGGAGCAGACAGTTCCTCTTGAGTAAAAAAAGGAATATCTTCTTCGTAATGCCCGGCTAGCTTTTCTCTCCAGCGTATACTAGCTGGTAACTTTACACTAACATGCCGATGAAACCTTGTACTGCAAAAGATCATTTAACATAGAAGATGGACAGAGTATAGGCTTTTAATCAAGTCTCTGAAACTTTTGGGACCATAAATATCTGGGAAGATCTCAAAACTTTAAGATCTCAGATTATTTTTGTCAAACCTATTTGTTTTAGATTCTGACTTGATTCACTTCAGAGACAGAATACCGATTTTTTTTTTTTTATTCATGAACGTGTGATAAATTAAGTTTGTCCTTTTGCATGTGGCCTTTATTTGGGTAACATAAACAAAATTGACATAAGTGATTAATATGTCTCACAGGGAATCAACCCTCACTTTATATGTAATTTTGAGGTAAGATTTATCTGCTCGACTACCAAGTTATCTTGCTCTGAAATCACACACCCATTGAAATGGGGATTGATGCAGCCATCACTGGAATCCAAATGGTAGGAACACGAGTGACATAATATATTCTCCTCCAAGAAACAAGGTAGTGTACAGGATCAAATGCGGCAGAATTTGCTTGGTCCTGAAAGAGATTGTTTGAGAGTTTGCTGATGGGCAGGAAACAATGGGCACCTTACATACTTAGTGGCCATTTCAACTCATATTTTCTGAGGGTAAGTGATTTCATGGTAACAAAACTGGTAGACGAGCCGATGAATTTTACCTTAATCACTGTTCCAGGAGTGTGCAACTTGAGGGGATAAGAGGAAAAATAAATATCCCGGTATGGCGTGTACCGCTCGGACCGTGAACCATCCGTTCTGCTCATGCGCACAAAGCGGCGGCAAATCTGAGATACTTCCAGCGTGTACGTCCGTCTCTATAGAGTCATCAATACATTCTTAACCTTTAATAAACAAACACTGTTGAGAACATACTGCAAATTCAAACGTAATCTTTAGAAGTATTCATATCTTATAGATGTTCACCTCTACTGCGATTTCCCTCAGGTGGTCATATCAACACACTAGCCTAGTAAAATCAATACAAAAATAGTAGCTAGCAGCTGAATAACGACGGCCCGTCCACGGTAGGTTCATCTATGCGTCGAACTGTAATTTGACGCTGATTCTCTATGAAAATTATCAATTAACACGTGAATTTTATCCCCATCATAGTAAATGTATAATGAGGTAGGAAATGAACTAGCTGAATATAACAGTACTGGTGAATAACAACGGATCATTCACGGAACGGCTCATACACGCGTCTGCTGCGTGTACAATCAGTCAGGACGGATGGTTCACGCAGAACGGACCGTACACGTGATACCGGTATTTCTTTCAGAGCCACCACAGCCTGGTGGATGCGCAAGCTTGTCGCCATTTTACAGTTACAGGCGCCATATCTTTCATGACTAAGCGCAACAGTGCATATCAGAGACTGGAGTGCTAAAGCATGAATTTTCGTGCTAGTGCTACTAGTAGTACTAGTCACCGAGTTGTAAACACATTTGATTTGCAGTAAGGTAGGTCACTCCCGACTTCTAGAATACCAAGACGACCAAAATTTGGTACTTTTGTAGTATACCCCCCCACCCTGTAACTTTCTGTAACTTTCACTTTTCAAACAGTTTTTTACATTTTATTGTTCATCTATGTCAAAGCTGTTGAAATAAAATGCTTTTGTAATTACCTGTGGACTTTTTATTGGTTTTAATCACGTTTAATCCAGCCCATTGAAATACAATGTTAGAATCTTCAATTTACTCCCGCAGTCAATAACTTGCCGCGTTTTCGTTGGCTAACTCTAAGGTAATTTTATGTGAACAAGTAGCTCATAATAATTTCACAGAGGAAGTCCAAGTATACAATGTATCAATCCTATGTTCACATAAAATAAGGTAGAGTTAGCCAACGAAAATGCGGCAAGTTATTGACTGCGGGTACATTGTAAATTTCACATTGTATTTCAATGGGCTGGATTAAACGTGATTAAAGCTAATAAAAAGACCACAGGTAATTACAAAAACATTTTATTTCAACAGTTTTGACATAGGTGAAATAGACAATGTAAAAAACTGTTTGAAAAATGAAAGTTTCAGGAAGTTACAGGGTGGGGGGGTATACTACAAAAGTACCCAAAATTTTTCCATCAATTACTTTACAAAAACCCATACCTTAATGTGTTTTGAAAAACATCCTTTTGGCGAGGCTAATTTTGGACATTAATGACAATCTAACAACCCAATAAAAAGCATTACCTTAGAGTAGTAGGCCGCTTTAATTGTCGCAGCAGCAGCACGCTGCCGCTTATTCCTTGAGCGGCCATTTGGGTAGCAATTTTATTTCCTCCAGTGCACAAGAGTGAGTTCTTAACCAAACGCATTGAGAAATATATCACACAATATCTTTACAAGAACTTTGTATTCAGATTTTTCATAATTGAGAAAATTTCTATCTAGTTCTTTCCTTAAGGACGGTATCAGCTTATATTTATCAATAAATGATTTATTGATAAATATTAGCTAATATTTTCCAATAAATCGATCATTTATTCCCCGTTTTTCACCTTTTATTCTATTTGTTAATATGAATTCAGTTGTTCGTGTATATATCGTTAAGACGATAGAATAAACCTTCATTTGATATTGCTGGACTCGAATGCTCCAAAACTATTACACGGTCAGGACTGTGGCCACCAAATCTGTCAAGACTAAAGACTCTAGGCTATCTACACATAGGCCCTATGTCTACACTGAAATATATAGGTCTAGCGGTAAAATGCAAAATTTTAGATAAACCAAAGAAGGACTGAAGTTGACAAATAATACAACACATATAGGTAAATGATAAATGCTATCCAGAAGGAAAAGGCGTTAGGATTGGGCATCACAGTTAAATAAACAAATAATCTCTATTACAGACCAGCTGAGTGATGGCATCAGTTCTGTAGCCTACAAAACAAATCTGCAAAAATTCTCGCTGGACAGGAATGCGCACAGAATTTACCCAGAGAAATATCTCTAATTACTAAGCGAAACAAGTCCTTCTCTGACCCAGCTAGTGGTTAATTAGCAAAGAACCTAAAAATTTCAGGAGACTTTGGTAAATGGACTTGTAGTGTAGTTTAGTTACCGACGTATATTTCTATTGACATTTGCTTTTAAAGCAATCAAGGGGCGTTTTTTTCTATTGGGTGCTTTATATTCAAATGCGTTAGCTGTGAAAGTTTATATCACAGCAATGGGGATTTTGTTGGACACCTATGAACTACACCATTTGCCCACCCATGCTTAAGAAGGGAATAGGAGCTAACTATAATTCCCGGGCACTTGAGGTTTTTATGCTCTGAGAGAAACCAGAGACCAATGAAAGCCCAGAAGTGGCAAGATTACATGGAGTAATTATGGCAATATAAACTAAACGGAATTGTTTTTTAAGAAGACGCTTCTGGTAAAGCAGGATAGACGTAACTGTTTTGCACATTAGGGTATGAGAGAACAACTTTCAATCTAAACTCCAGTGGCTTTAAGCATTTGATATAAAACACAAAGCCCCTGATAGTGCTTGATAGGGGATGTGGATTTACAAATCAAGACGTTGGTTTATGACATTATAACCGACCCTTATGGTACATCTTTCAAATAGCTTCGTTCTATTTACGTTGGGCGGAAATACATCCTCTGCTAAGGCACATCAAGGAAAACGATGCCCAATACCTAATTGTTTTTTGCACTTTTTTGCATGTAGATTTGGCGGCTCTTTTTTAAACAGGGTGGTCTGGTCTTTCTTTGTCAGTGCCTTTAATTAACGCTCTTCACCATTTGTATAATTTATATTGTTTTAACTCCGGGGGCAAAAGTAATTAAAGGCCTTTTAAGTTGATAGCTATCATAGGCCGTAATTTGTTTTAGAGAACACTTACCAGACTCGGGTAGGAAAAAATCAAATCTACTTGGGTAATACCGTAGTACTCAAACTTTGCCGAGATACAGGGAATTCGATTAACATGTACTTTTAGTACGTGAGTTGAATGCGGACAGGTTTGTGGTGACACGTCCCATTGGAAGACATACTTTGAATATGCTCCTTACGTCGAATGAAGTTTAATACGTTTTAGTTGATGCAACGTAGTTTTGAGATGCATGAATATTGAATGTTGGAAATTTTTCTAAATTTCCCTTGATACAAAAATTCCACAAGTAAATCTATTTGTTAACAGGGCAAACTTGTCTACGTTTAATTGTACTTTCATGCGAAGCGGCCTGCGTGATGTCGACATAAACGCTGAGGGAAATAAAAGTTGTATTATATCAGGTCAACAAAAAACTTAATCATCAAATCTCTGCTTGATTCACACATCGCTAGTCAATATTTGTCTTTATCACAATCGTAAATTTCCTCCTGCCATGTTGAATCTGTTTAAAAAAAGAACAGGCACCTTATTAAGTTAACATCGGATAAATAATTCAATTATCTATAACCCAGAAATCATGACTACCTCAAATGATGATGTAAAATCGAATGTAATTTTTTCGCAGACTATTTATTACAAAGTCATTCGTCAGTGATTGTAAAATCGCAGCGTAATTATTTGAATAATAATTTTTATGGCCCTAAAAACAAGAAAATGCGTTTAGGTTCATTTCAGGATTTCACAAAAACATAAATGAAGAGATACTTACTTATCATGCTCTGCCGTAACTGAAGCTACACAGCGAAAGACGTATTTCACACATAAGCCTAGTAGTTTCTCTTAGTCCGTTGACGCAACTGGACAGCGTAAAAGGTGAAAGCTAAGTACATTATTTATAGCAATAAGTCAATTCTAAGTATCTGAAGTGTACAGCGTGTTTATTGAAAATGCAATATCCTTGCACCGACAGTGCAGCTTAGACAAAGTAAAGGCGACCAAGGTAGAATCATGGATTTTTAGAAATCTCTCATAAACTCAATGCTTTCACCGATCCTATAAAACCTTAATGAAATAACTCTGATGTTGAATTAGTGTAAGCTTAGATCTTAGGTGTAAGGTACAGTAGCAATTGAATTCTCCATATATTAGCACTGGATCTGGTCTGTTTCACGGCGCTTATCACTTGATTAAACTTCAGGCTCAAAAGCGTTTTCCAATACTCTCTGTTTGGTAATTACATTGGTTGTTCACTTAATAGATCTGCAATCGCTACCCAGCCACAAATTACCGCAATTAATTCACCGATAATCACTTTTCAAATGAACTGACCCTTGTATGATGATTATGTATTGTTTGACTACCACCATTTATTCTATTGTGCATGGCAGTGTTTGAATAAATGATGCGTTTGCAATATCTTGTCCCTAGAGGAATGAGAAGCTTACCACAAATCGTTAGGGCTTGTACGTTTTCAGCTAATAACCTAAGATCGGTGTTCTAATGGATAATATTGAAAAAAGTCTATCCCTCAGGTCGTCGAAAAACCCAGAGCCTTATTTCTCAGCAGGTGCAACCATGCGCACAAATTCATCTACTGTTAAAACAAAAGTCAGATTAATTGTCCATTAGGTTGGCTGATGGTCTAAATCATCGCCAATAAGATTAATTGATAGCAACGTTTAATCTTCATTCTTTTTCAGAGTGGGTTGATAGAATATTAAAGATTTAGTTCACATCACTAACGCATACTTCCCATGTACATTATATTGATGTTATGTTTCCTCTCTGAGTCAAGCTTCGGGTTGCTTTGTCGTTGCTCTGCATAGAAGAGTTAACAATGCGATCAGGACGAGGCCTTGTGCAGCTTCTGAGCTTTGCTTCTAAAACCTGGCCACAAGCTTGATTTGCTGCGATTATGTATATTTTATTTCACTGACTTGACTACAGTCTTGTTCGATCAATCCATTTTATTCTTTTAATTTGTTTTGTAAAGTCGTCTAGCGTGAAAGAATTAAATATTTAATTCCATCTGTTTCGTTGAACTTCAGAGTATAATACAGATGCACATTATTATATAGTGTTTTTAATAACATTTCCGTATTTATTCAAGCTAATCCTTCATTCAGTACCAGTGTATCTATTATTTTTTAAAAAGAAATGTTCATAACGGCAACTAAATACCAGGACCTATATTAGGGGCGCATTGCTAATAGACATAATCTCAATATGAGAAAATGATCATTCTTTTTTTTATATATTTTTAAAGCAAAACTAAATATTTTAAGCTTGGTTAAAATGAACTAAAATAAAAGAATATTAATCATGTATTAAAATATATCTCAAACGTGTCGTTCGAACAATTGGAATATTCAGTATTTGCATCAAGTGCCTCCTCATTAGAACTCTGTGCCTAAAGATAAGGTCATAAGCAATGTCGCAAAAGGTGTTGCCCTCCTCTTTGTTGTGACCGAGGAAGCGCCATTTGTTCAAATTAATGGAAAAAGTCACTTCGCTTTAGAAGTTCAACAGTGCTTTTTATGGGCGTCCGCAACACGCGATATATCGTTCACAAACTTTTTTTGAGGTTGTTAATTTTACAATCAATGAAGATAATCTCACTACAACAGATTGTTAACCGGATGTAATTATATTAGATTAAGATTTCAAACCCTAAAACTGCAATTTCTTTTAAAGTAACAACAGCTTTATGGATATTGAAAACGGACTGAAAAGTCACACACACACACACAAAGAAAAAAAAATAAAAATAAAAATACACAAGAAGGCAACATTTTATTAAAAAATGAAAAAAGAAACCAAAAATTAAAGTTATTTTTATATAAATATTTTTTGTCTCTCTCACTTTTATACAGCTAAATGTCATGAATTGCCCGTTGCACTAGGTCATAAGTCTCGCCTCTGTTTATGCAAGGAAAATCAATTTCAATCCTATAACTAAATTTACAATATACACCCGACCATCCACACTTATAAATCCCCGTCTATCGATAGAATAGTCTCATGTGTGTTCTCTGCAATATCATCTGTTACCTTATTACTCTGATAAAGATATAGTATATTGTCACCGCCAGAACGCTGTCAGCGCCTACATATTTAAACCAAAGATGGAGAGTCGTGATAGTTGGGCCTGTCTTCGCTGTTTTCTGTCTCGGCCCAGGGCTGCAGATTTTGCAGAGCGTGCAGAGACGCGTTGCTAAGAACGAGGGGGTCCCGCGTGTCATATATGGTCTTTGATGCTTCTGCCTGGAGACTCATCATGAAGCGGTTTGCTGCTTGTCGTTCCGCCTCCCTCTCTTCTGCAGTTTGTCTCCTGGAAGAGCAGAGGAAAGTCCTTGTTTACAAATAGAGTTCCAAATTTCACCGTCCTGCATAATATCTAAATTATGAAATTTTGGTTCGTCATGTACATATTGACTACATGATGCTCTGAATCTCTTTCCTCGTTGGTTTGTCGCCTACAAGTATAAAAAGAACAAATGGCTTACTCTAAACCTAAAAAAACACGATTTCAAAATAATACAAATATATGGGGCGTGCACCGCAGATGCAACCTTCTTTTATCTAATGTTTATTTTACCGACAGTTATTTCATTCAAATGGTTCGTTTCTACACCATGTGTTGATTTCTAATTCAGAAATAAACGCGTCATGATTCTAACTCAGGAAAAGAAGCGCTTCTGAATAATTGAATAGCTATTCAAATCCAACGAAAGCAGTATTTCCGAGTTCCCATGGGACGGCTTTGACGCCTGAATTAGATTTTGAAAGGATAATGAAACGGGACTTTGTGCCTCATAAAATACTCAAACGGCTTTTTAAAAGACAAACACTCTTACTCCGACAATATTTCAACTGTTTAGCAGAATCCATTCATTAGTCATTTCGAGCGTCCCAGAAGCGGCTATTTCGCGGATAGCCTATCAATTTTCATTCCAGTTGGATTTCCGCAGTGACACCTCTTTAATGAAATAATGATAGCAATATATTAGTGTTCTTTTTTGTAGGTACTTCTGATGCACACACATATCGAAGGCAGGAAATAACGGTAATCGCAAATGAAAAACTAGATGTGACGGTCGAGAGGAAATAAGGGAACGATTAGATATGATAATATCAATCGTTCTTTGACTAATCATCACCGTAGTCTACTGTGACTTTAGTGAGCACTCTGCCACAGTGGATTTAATTAGCACACTTTTTTCTTTTAAATATAAATATCTTTTTATTCATCGTGATTTACCTTTGTGAAGACCTATAAATTCACCGATAAATGTCAGATGATGTAACCATTTCAAAACAAATACAAACATGGCGCTTCTATAATATTCAATGTCAGATATTTCTCTTATGTGTTGTGGCCATTGCTGATTCAGTTATGACCGGGTAATTTGCTATTTAGAAGAAAGGTAGTGGCTATTTTGAAAACAGAGTAGACCTGTATTTGACGAATGCAATTTGGCAAACGAAACAATTATTTTGCATCCCATGACCAGATATCAAGAAGTAGTACGAGGTCATCTACAGGCAGTTAAAGTAGTTTCAAAAGATATTATTGTGATTTTCTTTGGGCGATGCCTTAAAAGCTAAGCTGTAAAAGCCGCACATTTACCTGATCTAATCATTTTGGCATCAAGGTGATTTAAGCAAAAGGCCATTAGCGTATTAAATATTACATACTTTCATCTGTCACGAGCAAAACGTGAATGAAGACAAGTGTTCGAGAATTTTTTCATGGGTCGTCAAGGCGCCAATTGAACGAATGATTAATATCGACAGCTTCTGAACTCTCGCTACGAGTAGTAATCCAAACGTAACGTATGTAGTCCTTCAGAGTAGATCATCGGTAAATACGGGGCGATAAAGCCATGATAAATGTTGGAACCCAAGCTGATGTGAAAACTACCAATAAGGAAACACCTTTTCGTCTCGCAGCTACAGACGAATTACTGTGTAGTAGCACATTAAGGAAATCTAAGCACTCACCAGCCAGTAAATTCTAACTGGAAACGCCAAACATCGTGTTTTATATATCGGCGAAAACATACACAGTAGTAATGAAAAAAAGAAAGAAAATTCATTTCTCTCTGCCTAGTCTGTTTGGAGTTAGAATAGCGTATATTTTCCACCCACTATATTCGTGTAACGGCGCTTTCTTTCCATGAATATCCGGACTTTGCTGCACAGCTAATAAATTTTTCATTGTTCTCAGACTCGGCGCACTTAATTAAGAGTAATTTAAAAGCAAAATGGTTTCTAAATTAATTTACAGACAATAAGCGAGACCCACGAGAATCTTTGTTTTAACTATCGTTTTCACTTCAGAAATAAGATTGTTCCAAGTTAAGTCCCATTGCTTCAAGTCTTGACTAAATTCGATCAAACAAACCGTGCACTTCTGGGTAGGCTTTAAAACATTCCCAGAAAACTGACTGCAATCACTTAAGACGGCAACCAACACCTGAATAAAACAACAACAAAAAATCCAGAGTGCCCTTTTTTAACGCTAGATAATTCTGTTAAAACCGTTTCACGTTGTTTTAAAGTCAGTCAGTTGAGTTTCATCAAATATTTCCCCGAATATGTTAGCCCATCCTGAAAACCATTGCTAAAGCTAACATGCAGTATCTTTTCGCATGCACCATAAAACCAGTGTTTGTAGGCTCTGTGTGATTTATGTGCATTACAAATAATAATTTCTTTAATTTGACAAGTCTATTATATTCATGAAAAATGAAAGAACAATGTCAACCGTAGGAACAAATGGTTCTGTCACCTTTCCTTTCCCTATCACTCTTGTCAACAGAACAATTTACATTTCTAAGAAGCGTTCTGCCCTGGGGCAGGTACTATGAACGACACTGTCGCAAAAAAGTGCCACAATTGATTTATTGAACAACTTAAGGAAATGTTCTCATTTGCTTTTCTTGTGATTTATCTCTACTTTTTTTGACTGCCTTACTAATCAAATTTATGTGTATTAATTATATCCTGCGTGTAAAGAGGGTGCTAATGACACTTCACCCATCACCCCAGCCCCACACCTATTCAAGGTGCCCGCACCCACGACCGAGTGAATGGAACTCCACTGGGAAAGCGCGCACCGAGAGCTGGACTATTAATGCTTTTAAAGAGAGAAATTTATGCGTTAAACGATGAGATCGGTCTTTATTACTTTAAAACGGCATCGAACTCCACACAAAGCAGCGGGGTGCTTTACGTTATTTCAGATTAAACACTAATATGGCGGGGAGACTGGCATATCTCTTCCTGTATGTTTTTTAATATTTTCATGTGCGTGACTTGATACCTCAATTTAATATCTTATTTTGAGATTAATTTTGGAGTAGTGTTATAATTTGCTATAAATGGCGTTAAACAATGTTTTTTTTTAGATTAACACACACACATCCACGCGCACACACACACACACACACACACACAGAGAGAGAGAGAGAGAGAGAGAGAGAGAGAGAGAGAGAGAGAGAGAGAGAGAGACTGGAGGGTGCATTTTTTTTCTTTGCCCTACCTCCATTTTGTCCGTCTGTTTTGGAACCAAGTTTTAACTTGTGCGTCCGTCATCTTAAGAGCTTTAGCCAGGGCCGACCGTTCTGCTGAGGCCAAGTACTTTTGTCTGTGGAAGCGTTTTTCTAACTCGATAATCTGTAGTCTCGAGAATGACGTCCGTGGTTTCTTCCTTTTAGGAGGAGTACGGTTTTGGTAAGGGTGTCCAATGCGTCTGGTGACTGGAAAAACGGCAAAAAATACTTCGATAAATTGTGATGCTAAATTTTTCAATAGTTGACAACATTTGCAAATTCAGCAAGACCGTTCTTTTTCTTAAGTATTGCATATGAGATTATTCTATTATTAGTATATCATTTATTTTTAACTTAGTATTTTTATCTTTTGCTTTAATAGTTAACGGCTAGTTGTATTTATTATTCCATTTCATAACTGTGAAAAGCATTTTAATTGAAAACAGCGATCGAGCAGAACACATAATGTGTACTTTCCGTTAATAAATTATTAGATATTTGAGCGTAAATTTATGCAGGTATGTAAGCATTATTAAATGTAATCATCTGCCCATTTGCAGGAAAAACAACGCCAAAATAGTAGGGCTGCACGAAAAAGGATAATTTAGAATCACACTTTGCTATCAAAAAGACTCAATTATGTACAACAGGCGTAACAGATGGAGCCCTTAATTATGGCATTTACGATTGGATGTGGGATAAATCGACAAATGATCATTTTACCTCGACTAGAAAAGTGAATAATCATAGCAAGCATTTGATGCACTCCTAAAATTAGTTTCTTTCACTCAGTTTGCGGGAAATTAAGAGAAAAATTCATCCAGGAAAAATGTGAGATGAGAGACACACATGATATATTTGTTACATTAACACATTGATGTAAGTGGATAATTTGTAGCAATTGTTTGTATCGGATGTAAAACAAATAGAGTTTGATATATTACAATTGTCAATTGAGCGAGATATGTGCATTTAGCAAGCTACTGTTGAAGGCTTAGGTCAGGCGAGGAAATGTACACATTTACTGTCATAAAAAATTACCGTAAAAGTAGCAAATTCACAAATTAAAAGTTCAATGGCATTTATTAATATATGTCAACTATGAGTTGATAAACGATTTATCAAATATTGACCAGATCAGCAGTTTTAACTGAAAGAAGGGATATTCTTCAATGGAATTGTTTTGAAAAATCTTTATGCAATTCATTTACTGATGAAGGATACAAATTTAGGCCGGCAAGGGATCATGCATATTATAGAAAGTGGTTATGAAAGATACTCGTGAAAACCGCATTTCTATATAAATTTTATTATAAGTTGGGGAATGTCTAGTTTTGTTTAAAAAATTAATGAAGTTCTCAGTCAGCACCAACTACATGTATATTTCTAGATATGAAATTCGGCGGGTTTTATTTGAACCTGAGATAAACACAGAGTTTTTAAACAGCCAGCTTGTATACAGCTTGTACACGTTTTCAGTTGATAAGATTCTACACGTTTTTGACTGATAGAATACAATTTCTCATTTAAATTTTGTCAGTAACTGAATACTTGGAACTATCTAAATTTTAGGATAAAAACCCAGCAGAAATTATTTTGTCAATATGGATTCAAGTAGGTGGGACTTACTTTTTTATGAGGACAAGCCTTCTTTTTATCACAAAGGTTTTATTGTTAACACATTCAATATAATACCAAGACCACGAACAAAACATAAAATATTAAAATGCACTCTTATTTCCCGTTTCCTTCAAACCCTCTAAGTATAATCAATTCAACAACTGATGAGTGTCAACGTTACGTGCAAAGAATGTTACATACTCTCGTACTCATGTCGACACAACAGCTATTAAAAACGCATTTTGTATGAACTTTAAATAAAATAAACGTCTATTAACAAAGTGTCATCTTTACATCTGCGGGTATCCGTTTCATCATTTCATCATTACAGCGGAAAAAATTAATATTAAAAACGACTTAATTTCAGATTCCCGTGTCGACTCTATAAACTATTGCCGCTACCGTTGAGTCCGGTTTCTCACAGTGCGATAGAGGTCTACGCATGACTATTTGAACTTCTTTATAAAAGGATAATACCACACGACAAAGCCACGATCGAGGCATTTTCAGTTACTGACCAGTCGACCGGCCAGCTCGCTGGTTTAGTTGGCACATCGCCGGCAAGCGTCACCTAGGTTCAACTCGCCAGGCTCTCCTCAGAGGTGACGCAGCAGATGGTCAGTTTGCAGTTAGCGTCTTTTGTCTTTAATAATTGAAATGACCTGTCACCTTCAGCGTAATACTAAACTGATTTACTTCCGCGGGCAGTGCGTGCAGCCTCCAGTTGGTTTGTACACGGTGTAAAAGTGGTCAGTGCGTAAAGCCACTTCTGAAGTATCTTCTATCAGATAATGTCGAAAATAGCTGTGGCTTAATTCACAGTTTTTATTAATTTCACACTGTCCACAGCTCTGACTTTTATTTGACCAACATATTCAAATAGCTTTGCACTTAAAGAATGTTATTAAAAGAGATGCCTTGAAGGAGAGCGAATTTGTAAATGCATGTTTTACGACAAAATTGCCCGAGACGTTATTCTACCTAATATTTCCAAGAAGCAATGCGGTAATGTTGCAATAATAGATTGAGTGTTTATATTATTATACTAATATTATTCCATTTCAAACAAGAATTGCCCGAGAACACGAGTAGCAAAAATAGCGCGGCGTATGTAGATGATCCCACATTCCTGCCACGCGTTGTACCAGTCTGTTGCAAAGACGATGAATTGAAAAAGCCTGGAGACCACAGTTTATGACAAGTTGTTCAATGATATTGTCTGTTGGACATTTTACGTCAAGTGGTAAAAACGTAGCAGCTGTCTACATGTACGACTATGCTGAGAATGCCGAGGCAGCCCGTGGACGACGTGTACTTGTAATCTACGATAACTTCTCCATAATCTATGAGACATTGCCTAGACACTCGTTTATGCAGTGTACAAATAGGCCCACTGGACAGAACAAACAGTTTATAGAATCAAGTTTATTTATACCCCATACATTCTAGGCCGAATTTCACCAGACACACCAGTTCGAATAATTAGTTCCCCAAACAAATATCGCTCAAAATTCAATTAAAAGAGAGCGCTTGATACATTTAACCTTCGCTGTTCCAAGTCTTGGGAAACCGATTTTCACATGTCCCTGTTTATTTGAGGTCTGTCGCGATACCATCGGCTTAAATTAATGTTTTCATCAGGTTTCGACATCGTGTATTGATTGCCTAAATGGAATGGCAAAAATACAAATCTTCTCACGACATACAACTTTGAGAAAGTTAAAAACAATATTGTCTAAAACTCCATTAAACGTCAATTTTAATGAAAATTAATTCAGCCTATAGCATATGTTAAGACGCTGGCATAATGTTTGACAAATTTCCATTGCCGTGTGTGAGTCTTTTATCTTATTCTTTAAATTCTCCAACTAGTATCGCTAAGGGCATTAAATAAAATAAAAAAGTGTTATAATTTGAATGCGTCTTTTTTTTTCTCTGTGGGTGAATACTCTGACAAGCTATAAATTCGTGGTTGGTAGGAATTTTTCAGGAAGTCTTCTTGCCAAATTATCACATTTAAAATGTTTTAAATCTGATTGCAATACGATAACAACAAAAAGCATGCTGTTTTGCGACACAAGTTCATAATAAGAACCGTCTAAACCACATATTATGCTGTAATACAATATCGCAATCCCTGTAAAATCTTGTGATAAAACGGTATTACCTATTAGGCGATGTTTCAGTTTGATACCCTTTGTGCAACACTTGCTGGAGTTAAGAAAGCAATTTGCACTTGTTTGTGAAAAGTTGAACTTACTTGTAAGTCGGTCTTTTCGAGCTTCCATCCAGGGAAACTGAAGAGACGGAGGGAGGTGACCCATTGGGATTGCAGGCGGCCTATGTGCAGGTACTTTGATAATGCCATTGACTACCATACCCCCACACCCACACCCAGGGGACGGACACGGAACACCACTGAAGAAGGGTGGCAGAGACGTCGGCACGTACCCCGGCAAGGTGTTGGGTAGACAGGCGTGGAGACTGGGACCCGGAGGAGCCGGAGAACCGGGCTGTGTTCGGGTGGCTGGCGAGGGAGAGAGTTCGCGGCTATGGCGTGTAACGTGAGATTCTCCCAGAATCTTGCTAATGCTGAAGGACAACTGTCCAGCGGGGCCCCCACGCTCCTCTGTCCCTGAGCTTCTCGTACTCGGAGGCCTTGGAGATTGTTGCTCCTGTTTTGTGCCTATGTCAGTCATCTTTGTGCTGTGTATTCACTGCCTACAATCGCTCTCGTACTGAAGCTAGATATAGTTAAACAGTCACTGCCACAGCTCAGTCATGAATCAACTATTAAACACAAATAGGCTCAATCTGTCAAGAGTCTAGGCATGGGTTTAAGTCGCTAGCGCTGATTGGTTGCAACGGTCTGACGTAGCACAGAATAATTCTACATCTTGTAAAACTAACATCTCAATGATATTTTCTGAATAGAAGATAAAATTCCGGAAGAGAAGAATGAAGAATACTTTAAGATGAAACTGATATTAACATATCAATATATGTAATAGCGTATAACTATTAACACATTTTTAACTAATAGTTTTGGGTTCATGCCGGTAAATGTTATTTTTTAATGTGGCGTTTGCTGATTCTTAAAGTGCGCTTTTGATTAAGAAAACTAGCTAACGTATTGAGATTGCTTCGTTTAAACATATTATTGCTGTTTTAAGACGCTCTCAGAGGAAAATTCTCAAAAGACCAAATCACTTCTAGCGATGGCAATTCTATTGAAAGACAGATGACCATATTTGTTGCAAAATGATTGTATTAAAGATCGAAAATAGGCGATTAGTTCTTGAAATTTCCTGTCAGTGTGAAACACGATGTGGGAATTCGACCGTCGTAAGTTCGTGACATGTCTTATTAGATCTCTGACACAAGACTAACCCTAAGGACAAAACAACGCTTCTAAATTTGACAGGGAGTATTTTCTGGACATCGTATTTCATCACTAAGACGAAAAGGAATGATAGTCCTAATTACCATCGGCCATATTCCAATTTGTCTATAAACAAAATAACTATTTTGAGTACATTAATCCTGTATCTAGTTTTAAGTGCACAGGTTATTTTCCCATTATAAGCTATAGATCTATGTAAACAAAAATCAAAGCTGTCAGTACAGAGAAATTGGAATTACCATTAAGCAATTGACACAATGATGAGCTTTAATGGAGTGGCGGACGAAGAAACGTGGGATTGGATGCCTTCATCAAATCTTCATCAAAACTGAGACATAGTGAATGATTTAGAAATGAGAATCGTCATCAGAGTTAACACGAAAATTGGTCGGTCGTCTTATCAGAAGTAGTTTGAGATTGGGCAACCCCTGATAGGTTACAGCTGATTGCGTTTCTATCGCTCCTGATCAAGACACGGCTCAGGCTATGAAAACACGGAGCTCGTTGTTTGCAGAAACAGTGAAAATGGACGTGTAAACACTGGCTATAGACTGAATGTAGCAAAAATGGCTCCCACATTTTTTAGGGAGTAAAAGTCTTTTTCATTCCCACATTTTATTAAAATTTTCTTTTACATTAATCCTTAGCATGTACCCAGAAAGAAGGTACCGCGATGGTGCTTGTGCTTTATTCATTCTAAAACTAAAAAATTGCCTGAAGTTGATTAAAAAAAATTATAGATTGAAACAATGTGAAACTTTCAATTTATTACTTAACTCTATCAATCTTTCAATTTTTAAATTAATAAGAAAAAAGGATGTGGGTATTGAGCGTCTTAACAACTATGTTTTTCAACATAATCACAGCATTCCTCACTCCTCTAACTTCCACACCTATACCTACACTATAATTATCAGACAGTTAAAGGTAGGTTTGCTATAGCCTTTATGTCAGTATTGCAAGTTTTAGAGTGAAGAGGACTGGAGGAGTGGGGAGGGGTTATACACAGCTGTGGTCGACGTGGAGGAAGTGGAGAGATTCCATATTGACTCTGGAAGAGGGGTGCTCGAACAATATTTTGGTCAACGTTTTTCTTTCTTTCTTTTTTTTTTTTTTTTTTTTTTTTTTTTTTTGTTCTGCTGCCAATCCTTGGTCGCCAGGCACTGACTGTGACATGGTTTGGTGTGAGGCAAGGTAGTCAGAGCATTAGAGCTGTCGCCACTATAGAAACCGAATTTCAATGCAAACTCAGAGTTACTGTTACATAAAACCTTGCGAAGAATTTGGAGTTGGCAGTCTTTAAACCATTTAAAGGGGTGTTTTGCCACATTTATGATTTTTTAATAACGCTGCCAGCGGCTACATTTCAATAGATAGACAAGCCCTGCCCAAACCGTGTACTTAGCTTATTACTGATGTTATGACAAGAACATATTCGGCTTGTGACAACAGAGTGAACCGTAGATAGGAGCATGTGTCGTCTCCCTAACCTGCTGAAGGCCAAAATATTTTCAATTACGTCTGTCCGTAGAGACATGATGTTCGTTATATTACCGCGACGTAAGACAGTTGAATGACACTAATAGCCGGTCTCCAAATCGCGGGTTTATCCTAGGTCGGACATTAGGAGAGAAACAAGATGCCAAAAAGTGAAAATTGTCAGAAAACAGATTTCACTTGGAGCGATATTTTTTTTTGCACCCGCAGTACTGTCAGTTGGAGATGGAAATCCGTTTTAAGGTGGTAATTAGAATAGATTCAGTGCGCAGTGTTTCTTTATGTATTTGTAATTTAACTAAATTGCCCGAGGCTCCAGGCATTAGTTTTTTTAGATAAATAATATGTCTAGTCATTCAACGGTTATTATGGCTCATTAAATTCACCCCTGTTTTGTCGACTCGACAATTTAGCTTTCGATTAACTTCGTAATTTATTACCGGAGTCAAAACCACCTTTATTGACAATCATATATTATAATAACTTTTCTCCCGATGCGCATCTGCCATCATTTTCACAAAGCGTGTACTCCCCTCAACGCGGCAGGTCCGCCAGCTATGCGACACGAGAAGATGACACTTGTTTTGCAGCTTTGATATTAAAAGCGCTAACAAGATTGTTATTAATTTAGTCAAGCAAAATTATACCACCTGGTGTATTTTGAAACATTATCGGATTTGATGACAATCCCATAAAATGTTAGGAAGCAGATAAACGACCTAATGGCTGGTTTTACTGCCTTTTTAGATAATACATTTATCAACTTTGCTGCCCAAATTGCTAAGATTGAAACAAGAAAAATAAATAGAGATATGTTTCTTTTTGTGATTATCACGACTCACTAATGCTACATATTTTAACATATGTAGCTGTAAGGAAAATGGCGATGCATCCACCATGCGACCGCATGAGACCATAACTAAATACCTTTGCCGCGAGAATAAGGTCGTAAATGTAACAAGTTAATTTTATAGTTGTCAAAAACGTCTCGAAGTAAGTTGTTCTCGTGTTAAACAGGTGAGTTGACGTTGATGGCAGGCTGGCGTCAGATGGGGGACACCTCCAGCGAGTGACATATACTCCTCTACTGATCTCATGTGCAACACTATGATGTCCAACTTGTCTAGCTGCTGAGGCAATAAGGGACAAAATGGAGCGAAAGAGGGGGCTTGCTATACTTAATAAAAAAATTAAAAATTAAACTTCAAGAGAATTGAATTAAAATATAGTAAAAATATCTCTACTTTAACACTGTAGGTTGTCTAGTTGAAGTACGACTGAATTTTGCACCGCACAAAATTGGAAGTAGTGGCTTATATTTTCCATTAAAACCCCACCATATGCATCTCACACATGGATGTATTGCCTATCATGCTATTACGACACTGCGATCAACAGCTTCACAGACATAAAAGATATATGTGCCTACAGTCAATTTTTGCACCAAACAATGATCAAAAAGCAAAAATCTTAATATGTTAAAATTCATCATATATTTTAACGTTTAATTATTGTATTTAAAAAAAAAAGCAGTGCTCTTGACCCACACGCCTCAAGGTGTACCTTTTCGCACTTTTGGCAACATATGATTAAGCCCCATGATATATATCCTTTGTGCCTTGTTGTGATGACAGTGACACACTGTAAGCACGCAAGGCATCAACGTACAAGTCAAGAAGAAATGGAAAGAAAAGAAAAGAAAAAAGAAAATACTGAAATATCCAGTAGAGAGGTTATCAATAAATTAAGAAAACTAAACAAAGTAGAGAAAGTTGGAGGGGAGGCTAAATGAAATAATATTAATATATGCGCCAGACTGAAAGTGTATTCAGGTAACCATAAGTGATCTTATTTGATGTGGCAGCTAGACATTCAGCGGTAGTGGATTTAGATGCATCCTATGTTAAACAGATGGATAGTGTATGGGTTGATAGCCGTTAAAATATCATATCAGTTGCTACACTTTTGTTTATCGGGTCACAGATTTTGACGTCATGATTTACTCAGTTTTGTTCCAGAGAGATTGGAATGCGGTGACCTGCACAAAGTAGAAGTATTTGGAAAGAAACTTTTAAAAGAATTTATCCATATTATGCTTTCGTCCGCGATAAACTTTTTTTTTGAGAGGTAAGGTGAGGTGACGTAGGATAAAATAAGATTTGATGGCTCAACGTTTTTAACCACTTTATGCAGAAAGCTTCTAGACGCAGAAGTAACTTGCGTTACTTTAAAAATGTAAGGAAAAATGTTGCTCCGGAAAAATGACAGATATGATGAAACGCCCATGAGCAATATCAAGGGCATTTATCTTTCATATAAACGCTCAAAACGACATTTAAAAAAAGAATGCATTAAAACAGAAAAAAAAATTCTTCTAGGCGTTCCTGAAAGTCTTTCATTTTAGGGAGCTTCTTAAAGCTGGTATGCTGTGTCATCTACTCAATTGCCATTATTGTGAATTAAGTTGGTTCAGACGGTAATATTTCCTTGTAAAATTAGACGTAAAACCCTCGTATGTTTTATCTAAAATATTAGTTGTTTCATTATCTCCATGGCGCCATGGCAACAGAAGCAATACATGTAGCAATTTGTCAACCTGAAAAGAACGTTTCCTGGTAAATAAGACATTTATTACATGGCCTGAATTTTCCCAGGGGACGCCATCAAACTAGGAACGGTATATCATGTAATAAATGAATGCATCTCTCTCTCTCTCTCATTTTCATCTTCACGGCTTATGAAAGCCTCCAGTGTGAATTCATTTCTATCTTTCAGTAATTATTTAAGAATCTGATTTTCCTTTTTCAATCCTTTGTGAAAAAATATTAGACATGTAAGGGCTAACATGTAATCTACAGCAGTAAAGTATGAAGATATCCTTCTTAGATCAAGGCTCTGATGGATTGCCCATTTTTATTTTGGGATACATTTTATTCTTCACATTTTCACTTTTTTCATCTAAACGTATTTTTCGATCGGTTTTCCAGAAAGCGTGAAGTTTGAATAACGTCGAAAAAATTTGAAATAACACAGGTTTGAGATCTGCAACTATTAAGAAGATTACTATACAGCACTTCATTATTAATTTTTCCCTTCTTTTTTCAAAGGGATTTTTGTTCAAATTCATCTCTTGAGTACTAATTACAACGTGTTTTCATTGCATTTAAAAAGCGACTTAAGTTAGTAACCATGATCAAATCCATAATAACATTTTGCACATTAGCTTTGTATGTCCTATAAGTAAAAAATAATGATTCCATTTACTCAGATATTCGTAAAAATATTGTCGAAACGTTATTAAAATTGTCTATTCATGAGCTGTTTTCGCATAATTTTGTATTTGGTAGTTGGAAACGTGCATGTATGGCGACCAGTTCAATCCACTGTAATGGTCAGTATACACAGTTGGCTGTCTGTTACAGTGTGTATGAGGTAACCTTTTGATCTTACATCACTTAGGGGCAGCAAAGCTTTTATCTGGTCAAACGCCTCTTTCGGGTATAATATAATGACAAGTAATCTGAGACTCCAACGACGCGCTATGATTAATTATTCCTGTAGCTCTAGCTCCAATAATTACTGCGTTTAATGTTTATTTGTTAATGCTTAGTATTAAAAAGTATTAATAAGTGTCTCTTCAGGCTGATTACAGGGAATTGTGCATATTGAATGAGGCCCCCGTGGGTTTCTGATTCGATTTGTAAAGACTGCAGTTATTTTAATGGCTGCTGGTTCCATTACACTCCATTTACTCGCTTCTTGGCCATATATAAGCTGTCGCTTTAATCCCATTCTCGACGAGGTGTAATTCAATTAAAAAGCACTGTACAACGATTATGGATGCAAGCTGCCAGAAGGTTTGAGATTATTAATACGCCAGTTTCTTCAGATAAAAGGCCCAGAGGAATTGGGAGATAACAATATTATCCGCATCTGTGAGAGATGCTCTTATATGGTTCACGCGAAAATTTATATCTTTAGTCAAGGAGTCGAGTGCACTTTGTCTTCAGACATTTGTTTTCTTTTTTTTCTCTTTTGCATTTTATTCAGCTCAGGACTTTTTATTAGTTTCACAGACACTTTTTGAATTATTTGTTTATCTTCCTTGACTGTATAAGCAGGTGTATGGAAGAGGAATAAAACAACACGATCCCAGGATTTTCAGCGCAAAACTAAGTTCCAGTTAGGGGAAAAGTGTGGTAGCTGTGAAAATCATTTTCTTACGGTCTGGGCTCAACTGTAGCAGTGCGCCAGATAAATTTTAGGTCTTGCTCTTCTCAAGAAGAATGCAGATCAGGGTTGCATTGTGAACTGGTTTCACACTATACCACTTCTACCCTGAGGCATATAAACTTTTTTAAGACTTGTCCAGCAACAGTAATCACTTACGGGAAGAAAGCTTTTAAAATAGTAGTTCCTAGTGGAATTTAGGTGGAACTTAGGTCTTCCCATCTATCTTTAAAAAAATTAACACTTAGGAGACGTAAAAGAAAACTAAAACCTATCCATAAAATAATATTACATTTGAATATTTATATTCTTATCATATTGGGCAATTGCCAATTGCACTTTCATTTAACATATAATTTAAATCTATTCCTTCCATCTATAATTTCGACTTATTTAAGCCTTTTCACGGCGTATAGTCTACTTAACATGTATACATACTGTATATGTTAATATGTATCAACATATCATTGAATAGATAATAAAAACGATATGTATCAACATATCATTTTTATTATCTATTCAATCCGGTGTCACGGTCTCATTGAGTCGTCGTGTTTATACCATCTAAACTACAGAACAATAATTGTACCCGCATTATTACTCTTTTGTGATTTTGTTGTGGCGCCATCTTTTAGCAATGATTGTAACAACATTAAAGCTCCTTAACGCCTATACCAAATTACTCTAAAACCAGATGTTCAGATGTAAAATGACAGCCGAAAAATGAAAAGAAGCGTATTTATTTCAGTAATTCGCGTGCAAATTTATATGGGAAAGAGTACTGGTATTTAGATGCCACACCCCGAGATAACACCCAGCTTTGGACTGAGATTACACCTTGCTAGGGCTTGAGATGACAATTTTTACCAATATGTGGATTTACATGGCAGGTCTCCAGTATCCAGCCAATATAAATTAAAACCATTAATTATTGGATTACCGCCAAAATCTTATCGAATTTAAGGCAACCCGTTTCTGTCTCACCTTAAAAATTCTAATAAAACCTCCTCCATGGTGTTTGGCGTTAACCTGTTCACTAGCAAACCAACTATTGCAAAAACGCAATCTCCTTGACAAAAATCTCCTTGGTAAAAAGGGGTTGGCACATTTTTAAGGGTCATCAATCCATGCCTACTTGGATCATTTGATTTGCGTTATGAATAATTTACCAAATATGCAATTTATCACCACAAAGGTACCAAAAAAAAAAAGTTATTCAAAATAAAAAATATAAACAGCCACTTGAAGTTACAACGAAAAAAATTAATAAATCTAAATGAACAAAATAAGCTGGTTGAATGATGCCTTTTGTCTTACTTGCATCTTATTTAATTCATAGATGCACACATAATATTTTGTTGGAATATTCCAACATTTCAGCCGGAGTCTATGTGTTTCTAGTAGATGATGTAGAACACCCTACCTTTAGAGCTTATTTAAAACCCGTTCTAATAACAACCGCTGCAAATGATTTTTTTCTTCTGATATAAACAAAATAAGTTAATTTTCCTTTCTTGATGGTGTTCAATAATGTCTTTTTATTTTTATTTATCTATTTATTTAGTACTTATATACAAAAATACAATACTGTGCAGGGATACGTTGAAAATAGAGATGAATCAAAATTGTTTACATATCGAGCACTCTCAGGGGTTAAGGGGGAAATGGATAAAACCGTACAAAGAATGCAACTGTTCTTATTTGCTATTAAAAAATAAGTCATACTTTCCACATTTTTGGGGGGAGAAAAACACCTTATTTGCTTTTATGATTTTCTCTAGCACCAGGACAGTAATCAAAATCATTTAAACAGCAGAATTAATAATTCTGGATGGAGGTACCTCAAAATGATACCAGAAATTCTTTTTAATGACTTCTTTCTGGTTTTATCTGCTATCACGTGAAATTATATTGGACTGGTCTCTTTAAAAAGCGATAACTCACAATATAAGCAAGTTTGTCAGTAATCCCTAATATACAGAGTGGTCCATAAAAAACGACCTATTTCATTTTTCATCATAATTTTGATGTACATGTAATTAAGATATTACCAACTTTCTTTCACTAAATTTTCCATAAGGATGACCATTTTATCCTTGCAAACTCTGCAGAAGTTTAAAACCTTTAAGGTAGCCAAATTCTAATCATTGATAATGCGCTCTATCCACGCTCCTCGCTGCTGAATAACAGCGGACACATGATCATTGAAATTGGCAGTGACTCTTGCACCCGTGTCAGCCGGACTGTTTCCTACTTCTCTTCGTTTGTTGGTCTTCAAAGTGTCTAGAGTTAGTGGATTGTCAGCATAGATCCTTTCTATGAGGTACCCCCAAAGGAAAAAAATCTGGGGGATTGACATCTTGCTAGTACGATGGCCTAGGAAAGTCCGTGCGATGTGTGATGATAAACACGAAAAAGACATGGCAACTTGAACAAAATAACGCGACATGAACTTTTCATCATGGGTCATTATGAGCTTTTTTAAAACTAAAGGGATCATTTTACTTTCCAATAAGTTGAAACATCTTGCAGGGGCACTGTCCCAAAACCCATGAAATCTTTTTAAATTCCAGCATATCTATTCAGGCACTTAAAATTATAGTGCAACCGATACTTAGATGTTTTTTAATACGAACCCCCCATGCGTGATGGGGCTGCGCACATGAGCCCTTGCGCCAACAGCCGGATACGACATGTCTACCAACAAGGACAGTGAAGCTCAATATGAGCAAGTGTTACATGACGGAGAGGAATACCATTCTCTGTTCGATACTCAAGCGTATCTGAAGGAATACTATAGAAGTGATTTACCCCATATCGTAACCCTAAGGAATGTGTTTCATGGTATTTTTAGCAAGGGTAGGTACAGGCAATGCTCACTGTCATCTTTGAATGCGTTTAGAGTCGACGGTAAGATCATGGGTTCCGCTATATGACCTGAATACTTATCCGTCTTGTGAAGTATGACTCTACAAAAAACCTGCATCCCATAACATTTTTCACTGGGTACACGTTAATTTTAAAAAGACACAACGTTACAAAATCATGATAAAAAAAATAGAAGGCACTCAAAGAAAGCAGGCTGCAATTACTTAATTGACCAATTAATTAATTGCCCAATTAATTAATGGTTTGCTGCCAAAATCTTTGTTAGCCCATTTCTGGCCTAACCAAAAATTTCTAATCAAAACCCATCCATTACCTTTGGTGTTAGCCTGTTAACTATCAAATCAACGAAGGCAATGACGTAAAGTCCTTGACATATTCACGGGTCGTTTGGTTTCTATAAAATAATAATAATAAGGGGTAGGCCCTACACTGTATAACAGTGAAATAGGGTTAGTTACCCTGTAGACCAAGGAGATGTTTGAGAAGGTCTTCTCATACACTTCCTTGGTAAGACTTAAGAAACGATAACCCTCTTCTCCTAAATTGTCTGATAGTGGTTAAAGTAATAAACTACTCCTTTAAGGTGCAGCTACATTTTTATAGCATTGCGTAATTGAACTGTTTATACAGACTTGACATTTAATATGGAACATTTCAGTTTAAAGAGCATGTCTTGGTGAAAATGCATTGATTTTTTAAACTTTTGTCTCACATGAGTATGTGAACAGAGAAATGTGTAGTCAGGTATGTCAGAACCAACTGACCGACTACATGTACCTTGTCTATAGCACTGCTGTGTTTCGTTATATGCATCTTTGGGCTGGTCGCCAACGGCTGCAAAGTAGATTTTGCAATTTCGCATACAGGTGACCGACTTTAGGGTGCTTGAACTGAGCGAAGCAGGGTGTCACCACACTGTTGCTCTCAGCAGCGGCGGATTTAGGCCTTCTTCTGGGTCTTCCGGAAGACGGTCAGATTTTCAAGTTTACATTGATGGGTATCTAATTTTTTCTGTTGGAATTCGGTCAAAATTGGAGTATGAATCAACAAAGATAATTTGGAAGACTGTCAGTAAATAGCTCTGGATCCGCCCATGCTCTGAGTCTGAATGGCGCGAAACAGATATACATAGCCAGGCAGATTATTTATAACAGTCTGCACAGTCTTACAGAAATATGACTAGACTGGTGCAGGGGCGGATCCAGGATTATTTGAAGGGGGGGGGGGNGAGAGATAACAATATTATCCGCATCTGTGAGAGATGCTCTTATATGGTTCACGCGAAAATTTATATCTTTAGTCAAGGAGTCGAGTGCACTTTGTCTTCAGACATTTGTTTTCTTTTTTTTTCTCTTTTGCATTTTATTCAGCTCAGGACTTTTTATTAGTTTCACAGACACTTTTTGAATTATTTGTTTATCTTCCTTGACTGTATAAGCAGGTGTATGGAAGAGGAATAAAACAACACGATCCCAGGATTTTCAGCGCAAAACTAAGTTCCAGTTAGGGGAAAAGTGTGGTAGCTGTGAAAATCATTTTCTTACGGTCTGGGCTCAACTGTAGCAGTGCGCCAGATAAATTTTAGGTCTTGCTCTTCTCAAGAAGAATGCAGATCAGGGTTGCATTGTGAACTGGTTTCACACTATACCACTTCTACCCTGAGGCATATAAACTTTTTAAAGACTTGTCCAGCAACAGTAATCACTTACGGGAAGAAAGCTTTTAAAATAATAGTTCCTAGTGGAATCAAGGAGTTATACTCTGTTATAACTCCTTGGTGGAATTTAGGTGGAACTTAGGTCTTCCCATCTATCTTTAAAAAAATTAACACTTAGGAGACGTAAAAGAAAACTAAAACCTATCCATAAAATAATATTACATTTGAATATTTATATTCTTATCATATTGGGCAATTGCCAATTGCACTTTCATTTAACATATAATTTAAATCTATTCCTTCCATCTATAATTTCGACTTATTTAAGCCTTTTCACGGCGTATAGTCTACTTAACATGTATACATACTGTATATGTTAATATGTATCAACATATCATTGAATAGATAATAAAAATGATATGTATCAACATATCATTTTTATTATCTATTCAATCCGGTGTCACGGTCTCATTGAGTCGTCGTGTTTATACCATCTAAACTACAGAACAATAATTGTACCCGCATTATTACTCTTTTGTGATTTTGTTGTGGCGCCATCTTTTAGCAATGATTGTAACAACATTAAAGCTCCTTAACGCCTATACCAAATTACTCTAAAACCAGATGTTCAGATGTAAAATGACAGCCGAAAAATGAAAAGAAGCGTATTTATTTCAGTAATTCGCGTGCAAATTTATATGGGAAAGAGTACTGGTATTTAGATGCCACACCCCGAGATAACACCGAGCTTTGGACTGAGATTACACCTTGCTAGGGCTTGAGATGACAATTTTTACCAATATGTGGATTTACATGGCAGGCCTCCAGTATCCAGCCAATATGAATTAAAACCATCAATTAATGGATTTCCGCCAGAATCTTATCGAATTTAAGGTAACCCGTTTTTGTCTCACCTTAAAAATTCTAATAAAACCTCCTCCATGGTTTTTGGCGTTAACCTGTTCACTAGCAAACCAACTAATGCAAAAACGCAATCTCCTTGACAAAAATCTCCTTGGTAAAAAGGGGTTGGCACATTTTTACGGGTCATCAATCCATGCCTACTTGGATCATTTGATTTGCGTTATGAATAATTTACCAAATATGCAATTTATTACCACAAAGGTACCAAAATAAAAAAAAGGTTATACAAAATAAAAAAAATATATACAGCCACTTGAAGTTACAACGAAAAAAATTAATAAATGAACAAAATAAGCTGGTTGAATGATGCATTTTGTCTTACTTGCATCTTATTTAATTCATAGATGCACACATAATATTTTGTTGGAATATTCCAACATTTCAGCATTTTCAAAACATTCCAACATTTTCAAAATAAGTTAATTTTCCTTTCTTGGTGGTGTTCAATAATGTCTCTTTATTTTTATTTATCTATTTATTTAGTACTTACATACAAAAATACAAAACTGTGCAGGGATACGTTGAAAATAGAGATGAATCAAAACTGTTTACATATCGAGCGCTCTCAGGGGTTAAGGGGGAAATGGATAAAACCGTACAAAGAATGCAACTGTTCTTATTTGCTATTAAAAAATAAGTCATACTTTCCACATTTTTGGGGGGAGAAAAACACCTTATTTGCTTTTATGATTTTCTCTAGCACCAGGACAGTAATCAAAATCATTTAAACAGCAGAATTAATAATTCTGGATGTAGGTACCTCAAAATGATACCAGAAATTCTTTTTAATGACTTCTTTCTGGTTTTATCTGCTATCACGTGAAATTATATTGGACAGGTCTCTTTGAAAAGCGATAACTCACAATATAAACAAGTTTGTCAGTAATCCCTAATATACAGAGTGGTCCATAAAAAAAGACCTATTTCATTTTCCATAATAATTTTGATGTACATGTAATTAAGATATTACCAACTTTCTTTCACTAAATTGTTCCATAAGGATGACCATTTTATCCTTGCAAACTCTGCAGAAGTTTAAAACCTTTAAGGTAGCCAAATTCTAATCATTGATAATGTGCTCTATCCACGCTCCTCGCTGCTGAATAACAGCGGACACATAATCATTGAAATTGGCAGTGACTCTTGTACCCGTGTCAGCCGGACTGTTTCCTACTTCTCTTCGTTTGTTGGTCTTAAAAGTGTCTAGAGTTAGTGGATTGTCAGCATAGATCCTTTCTATAAGGTACCCCCAAAGGAAAAAAATCTGGGGGATTGACATCTTGCTAGTACGATGGCCAAGGAAAGTCCGTGCGATGTGTGATGATGAACACGAAAAAAAACATGGCAACTTGAACAAAAATAACGCGAAATGAACTTTTCATCATGGGTCATTATGAGCTTTTTTAAAACTAAAGGGATCATTTTACTTTCCAATAAGTTGAAACATCTTGCAGGGGCACTGTCCCAAAACCCATGAAATTTTTTTAAATTCCAGCATATCAATTCAGCCACTTAAAATTATAGTGCAACCACTACTTAGATGTTTTTTAATACGAACCCCCCCATGCGTGATGGGGCTGCGCACTTGAGCCCTTGCGCCAACAGCCGGATACGACATGTCTACCAACAAGGACAGTGAAGCTCAATCTGAGCAAGTGTTACATGACGGAGAGGACTACCATTCTCTGTTCGATACTCAAGCGTATCTGAAGGAATACTATGGAAGTGATTTACCCCATATCGTAACCCTAAGGAATGTGTTTCATGGTATTTTCAGCAGGGGTAGGTACAGGCCAATGCTCACTGTCATCTTTGTATGCATTTAGAGTCGACGGTAAGATCATGACCTGAATACTTATACCTATCCGTCTTGTGACATCACCCTGAGCTTCAGAGCTAACTTGACACTAACCTTTTCACTGTAGCCTATCTCCATCGTGTCAAGTAACCTCTGACGAAAATAGTTTGACCTATTTTATATAAGCCAATCGAATCCATGTTTCAAAATTTTTCACCAAAGTTTGGTGAAAACGCTGATTGGTTGATCGTCAATCGGCAATCCTCGGCTGATTCCGCAAGCTCCATACTAACAACATAGTTATTGTCGAGTGCGGAGACATCCGAGTAGTTCCGAGTGGTTCCGAGTGCATAACCGTACACAAAGAAAGCATGGAGTATATCGGAATTGAAACCAGAGCAGTATGATGCCCTGCATCATTATCTACTGAGGGATGATGTATTTTGCGTGCTGCCCACAGGTTACGGCAAGTCCCTGATATTCAGCCTTATCTTTGATTGGTCCGGATTTGAACAAAGCGCGCTTTGACTCGTTCGCGTTCATTGGCTAGATCGTTCAATGAGTCATTGAGTGCGGGCTTTAAATTTGATTGGCGGGCGGCGGGGGCACTCGAATCTGGTCAGAGGTTACTTGACACGATGGAGATAGGCTACAGTGAAAAGGTTAGTGTCAAGTTAGCTCTGAAGCTCAGGGTGTGTGAAGTATGACTCTACAAAAAACCTGCATCCCATAACATTTTTCACTGGGTACAAGTTAATTTTAAAAAGACACAACGTTACAAAATCATGATAAAAAAATAGAAAGCACTCAAAGAAAGCAGGCTGCAATTTCTTAATTGACCAGTTAATTAATTGACTAATTAATTAATGGGTTGCTGCCAAAATCTTTGTTAGCCCATTTCTGACCTAACCAAAAATTTCTAATCAAAACCCATCCATTACCTTTGGTATTAGCCTGTTAACTATCAAATCAACGAAGGCAATGACGTAAAGTCCTTGAGATATTCACGGGTCGTTTGGTTTCTATAATAATAATAATAATAATAATAATAATAATAATAATAATAATAAGGGGTACACTGTGTAACAGAGAAATAGGGTTAGTTACCCTGTAGACCAAGGAGATGTTTGAGAAGGTCTTCTCATACACTTCCTTGGTAAGACTTGAGAAACGATAACCCTCTTCTCCTAAATTGTCTGATAGTGGTTAAAGTAATAAACTACTCCTTTAAGGTGCAGCTACAGTTTTATAGCATTGCGTAATTGAACTGTTTACACAGACTTGACATTTAATATGGAACATTTCATTTTATAGAGCATGTCTTGGTAAAAATGCATTGATTTTTTAAACTTTTGTCTCACATGAGTATGTGAACAGAGAAATGTGTAGTCAGGTATGTCAGAACCAACTGACCAACTACATGTACCTTGTCTATAGCACTGCTGTGTTTCGTTATATGCATCTTTGGGCTGGTCCCCAACGGCTGCAAAGTAGATTTTGAAATTTTGCATGTACAGGTGAGCGGCTTTAGGGTGCTTGAACTGAGCGAAGCAGTGTGTCACCACGCTGTTGCTCTGAGTCAGAATGGCGCGGAACAGATATACATAGCCAGGCAGATTATTTATAACAGTCTGCACAGTCTTACAGAAATATGACTAGACTGGTGCAGGGGCGGATCCAGGATTATTTGAAGGGGGGGGGGGGGGGGGGCC